TTTGAGACAGGGTCTCCCTGTAGCCCCAGCTGACCTGGAACTCCCTATGTAGACCAGGCTGGCCTGGATCTCACAGAGAGCGGCTTGCCTCTGCATCCCAAGTGCTGGGATCAAAGGCATGTGCCACTGTGCCTGACATAATATTTCCCGCATTATACTATGATACTTTGTTTTGGAAACTTTTTTTCTCTACAAACAAATTCAGTTATTACTGAATTTCTGCTGTGATTTGAAACATTAGACATTCTTTTTAAAGTTTTCCAGAGACTTTCTGAAAGCACTCAAACTGTCGAATGGCTTCATTCTACCCTTTTCCCTAGCTCCAAGTTATATAAACTGAGATTAAGTATCATCTGCTTTAAGACTCACTTTCTGGGGTGACACATCACTAGTCTTGAGGTTGGGGTGACATTTGCATACTCTTTTTCTGACAATGTCTTGTCTTCCATTTAGTCACTAAAATCTGAAGTATGTCTTCTAGAAATACTGCAAGGTATTGGCATAAGGATCAAACTTTTCTCTAATTTCTACTGCAGTTTCCCATCTTCCCTCTTCTTCCTTCATGGTTCTTGTATTATTTCAGCCAGGAAAGCATGTGGTGGCAGGTTGGGCAGAAGCCTCTATCTTGGCAGAAATTGGTATGTTAAAATCTCGGTATGTTGTGAGAAACCAGAAAAGCTTGACCTGGGTGTGAGAGAAAATGATGTCAAATAAGATTTGATTTAGTAACGAAAGTGTTTCTATCTGGAGAAGAGAAAGTGTAAGAAGACTACGATGCTAGCTTCAGATGCCCACAAGGATGCCATGTGGCTCAAGAAACAAGTGCTGTGGCAGACAAATTTTGCTTGTCTAAGCTGCTAAGAGGAGCATATTTGAAAATATCCTACTTGAAAGTAGGGTTGAATAATTTAATTTCTAAGATTATTTCCCAGCCTATGTTTCCATTAGTGTAAGGCTGACATTTTTGAAATGTGAAATGAAAAGAGCTCCGCACCCCCAGACTTAGTATGCATAAGGGTATGAATGGAACGTTTATTAAAAAGAACATATCTGATTCTAGAAGTTTCAATTTAAGTTTGAGGCAGGACCTAGAAATCCATATATTATGATGCAGGTCAATTTGAGAATGCACCTTTACTCTTTGGATAGAATGACTTTATTAAAATATTCTTTGGAATTTTGTGAGTTAGTCCTGGGATATGTTTCATGTTACAGCATCTTTATCAACAGTGACCAGCATTTTAAAGAATCCTAAGGGTTTTCATAACACCTTGCATTGGTTTGAATACAGAGTAGATGTAATGACTTTGTAACAGTTGGTTTTATAATTCAGAGTTTTGTGAATACATGGAAAATAGCACATCAGGGAATGAGGATAATAATGATTAAACTATCATATATAAAACTATTATTTTGGGTCTTCAGGGAAGCAGGCTCAAAGATGGAGTAAGGAGTGAAAGATAAAGGGAGAAAGAACAGAGGAAGGCAAGGGACTTCTTCAGACTAAGGTGAGGGTTAATTTCATCTCAACTTAAAGAAGCTGAAAACATGAAGGGAAAAGGACCTGATGTGGAGGACCTCAAACTCATACACCTCTAAGGGAGCTTGGCCAAAGATCAGGTCTAATTTGATTGACCATAGGAAAAAGTGAGTGGCTGGGCAGACACAGCTAGATTCTTGTTTCCTCCTGGTTCCCAGTTATGGGCCTAGAGTAGCCTTTGCTCCAGCCTTGCAGCAGACTGGAGTTGTTGGAGTGTCAGGTATCTCTCCTCCTTTTGACAGGTACTCTCCTGATGGGAAATCTGAGTAGCACACATTCATGGCTGCCACAAAATCCTAGCCATTTTTTTTCCATGATGGAGAGTGCATGTGCATATTTTAAGACATGATTTGATTGGTTGGAAGGATGGCTCAGTGGTTAAGAGCACTGGATGCTCTTGCAGAAGACCTGGGTTCAGTTCCCAAAATGCACATGGCAGCTCACAACCATTCATCACTCCAGTTCCAGGGGATCTGATGCTGTCTTCTGGGCTCCATGGGCATTGCATGCCATGGATGTACTTACATACATGCAAGCAAAGCAGTCATACACATAAACTAGAATAAAGTATTTATTTTTTGAAAAGACATGATCTGCTATAAGCTGTACTGATTTCCTTTGACTTCTGTTTGACTGCACCTTTATTGCTTCAATCTCTTCGAGTCTATTTAGTTATATTGTTGTTTCCTCCATAGAGGAAGTGTATGGTAGGGACAATTCTATTAATACGTAGTTTTGCTTAAATCGATTAAAAACACATTAGTCTTTGTCAGAATGTGATGGCCAAGAAGTTCTATAAAGATGTGGGATTTTAAAACTCAAGCACCTTTTGTGTTTTCCCTCTAGTCTGGCGGCAAGAAGAAGTTGCACAGATTGACCAACACTTAACTCAAGCTGAAAGGAAAGCTACTTTGTGTGAACTTTTGGAAAAAGAGACGCAGATAATTGCCTCCATTGGGAGACATAGGTGTATTGCTCGTATGGAGAGCCAGGAAGCAGCAATACAAGGTTTTTTGGACAAGGTAGGTGAGATAACTTAAATATGAATGTATCCTGAGCTTAAAAATGTAGAAGAATGATCTAAAAGAGAGATCTATATGCTAAGAACTCATAATTTAAAAAATATTTTGCTATATTTGGTAAATATATCAAAATAATTTGGTATATTTACTCTTTTAATACAACTGCATACTTGAACTGCACCCTAGAATAAAGTGATAGGGAACATGAAGTTAACATGTTCTTAACTAAAAGGATTTGGCCATAGAGGAAAAGGTGGAGACCCAGTTCTTGTGACTATTTGAGCTGGTTATTTGAATTTGGTGAGTTGCATGCTCTGATAATGTTTAGAGTAAGGAAGTCACATAATGTTTGGGTCTGGGATGCCCAGGGAAGTAGGTAGAGACCTGTGTTCCTGCTTTGGTTTGCCACAGCCCTAGCTAATTGTAAATTCCTGACCAAAAGAATATACAATTATTGAAAAGCAAGAAAACATGCAATTAAGAAGAAAACTAAAGTAATTACTCTTTTGTGGTCAAACTGCCTGTTTGATATTGAATAGCCTGTTTCCATAGTAACAAATTACCTTTTATAATCCTGATCTTTTCATACAATTTAAAGCCAATCCATCCAGAAGAAAAGGATGCAGTTTCCTAAGATGCTCACCTGTTGTTCTGTGATTCCTATTATTTGAGAACTTTTGTTCTTCACCACACTTTATTACTTTAATGTCCTCCTGTCATCTCACTTATTCACTCTAATACTTGACTTCAGTTTATCTTTGGCTTTAATTACAGTTTTGGTTCCAGGCCAGATCCTTATGAACTCATAACCCATATATACAATTCTGACTGTCTTTTGCTCTTTGGAGAGCCCAAGAGAATACCTCAAAGTGGTATGGCCACACTTAGTTATATCACCTCAATATTTCTTTCCTCCTTCAACTCCAAATGCATCCTGCTCTGTAGAGCTCATATAGCCTATGAATGTTTCATTTCCTCAGTTGCTCTTGACAGAAATCTGAGTGTTATTCTTGACTTCTCTAATCTGCTTTTCTCTGTTGCTTTTTGTATTAGCTACTTTTCTGTTGCTGTGATAAAACACCAACAACAATGCAACTTATAGAAAGAAGAGTTTATTTGGCTTATTGTTCCAGAGGGCAAGAGTTCATCATGGCAGGGAGGTGTGGCAGCAGAGTTGGCTGGAGCAGAAAGCTGAGTTCTCACGTCTTCAAACAGGCACAAAAAGCAATTTTCTTCTTTCATCTCCCTTTTCTCTCTGGTTTTTTACCAGAAGGTGCAGATTTCCTTTTAGGGTGGGTCTTCCCACTTCAAATAATCTGATCAAGCGCCAACTCCTAGTAACTTATTTTTATACTCATAGATTAAAGCATCTCTGGCCTCAGTATAGAAAGTTTTGTGGGATTTTAATTTTGGCAACAAATGGCATTTAACATAGAGTCCCACAACAGGTTGATGTGCAGAGAATAACAGGGTATAGTGCTCAGCCCTAAATGGAACATCTATATCACACCTTCCAAGGCTCAGAAATCATTGCAGAAGAGGGGGAAGAAAGATTTTAAGAGCTAGAGATAGTAGATAAATACAAGGAAACTGATTTTTCTGGACACAACAGGGCAGTTACACATATTAACCCCTAGTGCTAGTGAGAGCCTACATAGACCTGCTTAAACCATAGCCAAACACAATCCCAGCATAGATGGTGTAGATGGACAAGAAGCCCCAGCCCTAGCTGAGGATATAGTTTCCAGAAGGAGACTCAGATTTCTCTAAAACTGTGATGCCTAGTAGGTTAACCAAACTCCAAGAAATGGACCCACACCCAAGAGCATTTAGGGAATACCAATTAGAATTGATAGGCTTTCTTAAAAAAAATAAAAAAAAAGAAAATTAGAGGCTAGAGAGATGGCTCAGCAGTTAAGAACATTCGCTGCTCTTGCAGGAGATCCGGTTCAGTTCCCAGCACCCACATGGTCGCTAACAGCCATCTATAACTCCAGTTCCAGGGGATCTGGCACCTTTTTCTGGCCTCTACAGACAAGTGCATTTACATATATGCAGGCAAAACATTCATACAGGTAAAATAAAAACAAATAAAAAAGAAAATTAATAATAGAGGACATGAAGTCAGGGAGGGTTAGTAAGGTAAGGGGAAAAATGGAAGAGGGAGTCTGAATATGATCAGAATGCATTGTCTGAAATTCAAAGTATCAATAAAAATATCTTAAAAAGAAACTCTCTCACAGGAGTGCCCAGTGGCTTTCCTTTCAGTTGATTCCAGTGCCAGTTGAGTTGACAGTCAAGACTTAACCATCACCATTCTAATGCAAGATCATATAAAGTACATTTTTTTGTGTGTGATACCATATTTAATATCTAGAAAAGAGGATAAATGATGCAGACTTTAGTAGGAAATGTTCTGCAAGGTCTGTTGTTCTTTGTCTGTCTGCCTCCCCATCCTATGCCTGCCATGGTCTCTAACATTGAGGAGTCAGTGCTCAATTCATAAATGTTGAAGCACTTATTTTTTACAGGATTATTTTGATTGCTGAAAATTTAACTTTTAGCTAATCCCTATAGTCAGAGAAGGTCATAGTTCTTTTAGATGTCAAAAGTAACAGGCCAGGGCTAGAGAGCTGGTGCAACCCTTAAAGGCTCACACTCACAACAGTAAAGTAACAAGCAAATGTAGCCATAATACTGGGGCTGGAGAGATGGTTCAGTGGCTAGGAACTCTGTCTGCTTTTGTAGAGGACCTGGATTCAGTTCTCAGTACCTACATGGTGGCTAACAACCGTGCTAACTCCAGTTCCAGTTGCCTTCTGACATCTGTGGGCACTGCATGACATGGGTGCACTTATATTCATGCAGGTAATACACTAATACACATAAAATGAAAATAAAATATTAAAAAAGCATAATGCTATGTTTATGGTAGACATTTAGCACCATAACATACAGATATTTAAAGCATTTTTTTTTATTTTCCTGTCATTTGGAAATAACAGAATAAACTTTTATATTTTGATTTGAGTTTAAATGCATTTAGCCCAAGCATGTGGCCTATTGAAACAATATTTTATTTTTATCTCACTCCAAATATATAATTTCTCTGAGTAATGAGTGATGGGATTTTCTTAGTCTAATGAAGGAACTGAAATGAACTAATTGAATACAATAATTTCTATAGTTCTCCTTCTTACTAAAAATATTTAAAGGTTTTTTAAAGCATTAAATAATTTGTAATTTGACATATCAAACACTGACTTCCTTAGGTTATCAAATATTGACAGGTTGACAGTGGTAAAGAAATTCAGGTCAGGAAATCTGAATGAAAACCATCACTTGATTTCTGGTTTTAACATCTTGTTGTTCTTTAAACTATGTGAAGACATCATTTGAATTTCTATAAGAAGTTATCCCTAGAATCAAGGCCATTTGTTGCTTTGATTCATGCATCACTTCTTGTAATCATTAGCTTAAAAAACTGCAGTTCATATGAGATGTGTCATGTAGTAAATGCTTTTTCTCCATACTCAGGTGGCTAACAGCTAATGGGATAGATGAATGCACCTACCTCTCTCTGAGCCTTACTCAGGGGATCTCTGTGGATGAACAAAACCCCTTTGCTGTGTAGAAGAAAAGTTGTTCACTACCCAGGGGCTCTGTGGGGCTTAACTTTGTTTAATTTGTGCTTTAGGGATTTGAGAATTTATTTAGGAGGAAGAAAAGACCTGCATTTCTTGTCTTCTATGAAGGCCTGCTGCTCTCAAGGGTTTTGTGCCTCTCCACCTCCTCTTCCCTTCCTGCTGTTCTTCTGTTGGTCTGTTCCACAGCCTCTGCTGCATCATTTGTGGGCAGCTAAATGGAATTTATTATGCTCCTATTTCGGAAGTAATTTAAGAACATGGTTGTTATACAGCTCTTATTATAGCCAAAGCATTCAAAGAAAAAAGAAAATAGGAAAGACAAATAAGCAAAGTGGACATTTTCCTACATTAGAGTGAAAAACACCGTAAGGCCTGAACTCAAAGAAGCCTATACTTGATGCTCAAGTTATCAGTATGAGCAGAAAAGCGTCTAAAGATAAAAGCAACTTCACTGAACAGATTTTTTTGTATCTTCTCTGTGCCAGCTCTTGGGACCTGGAGCTTCATATCTAGGCTTCTCTGATGATATCATCCATTTTTCTTTAATCTGGCTAATACCTGTTTATTCTTTAGGCTTCATTTAGGTACAGCATTTTTCTCAGGAGTTAAGTGCTTTACAGCAACCCATCCTTACCTGTTCACCTGAAGGCACTAACTAAGCTCATCCTTTATTTTAATTATTTTTTTCCCTTTATACCCCATGAGAGTTGAGAGCTTTTAAAGATGGGTCAGTGTTTATCTCCTCAGTACTTGGTACACTGGCTAATGTATCGTAAACACAGTATTTGTTGAATGATGAATGAGCACTTATAGTGTTATAAGTTAGCCCCATGAAACATGCAGAAATCCCATGAAACATGGGAGAAATCTATTTTTTATAATATTTTGGGAAAACTAAAATTTAAAATCATTATTTTATAATTGAGATCCAAATTGCTTTGCCATGAGTTACTGGAATAGAGATACTATGTGTGTGTATGTATATGAATGTGTGTGTGTATATGTGTGTGAGTATCCATGTGTGTTTTTGCTCAGGAAGGTGGTAGTGTACTTAATGTTACTTTGGTATCTAGAACAGACATTTTCTGCTATTGGTTGTGATTTTTAGTTTTTTACTTCTAGATACATTCCCAACAGGATCTTACTGCAGTGAGATTACCTTATGATGGCTAAAAGGAGATATGGGCTCCAGGCTAGCACATTAGAATGCTTCTTCTGAGAAAAGAACTGCGGCAGAAGTTGGACCTAATTTTGGGAACATTAAACTTATGAAAGCATGAAGCTCCATTGCACAGTGTACGTGAATGATGCTCTTACGGGTGGCTTCCCCACATCCATCACTCAGAGTCAGCCATGTACAGTTATTGTGTGTGTGTGTGTGTGTGTGTGTGTGTGTGTGTGTGTGTGTGTAATAGGATTTCAGATATATGATGTCACTGTATCAAACTATAGTGGTAGAAGAATCTTCCTTATAGAAAAGGTAAGGCCTGACATCAAATTGAAGTATAAGAAAAATTTGAATGTATATTTGGAAAAAGCCAAAATATTAACTATATTACACTATATTCAATAGGGCAAACCACTTGAATGGAATATAGAATTAAATCTGTGTATCAACTGCCAAACATACAATAAATTAAACAAAAGAGACATTTCATGAACAGGTTATTATAAGGACTATTTCAAATGAAATATGTCACCAGCCTGCAGAACTGATATATTGCAATACTACTTGTAGAAAGGAAATTCTATCCTTTAGAGCCATGTGGAGGAAATTTGCATACAAAGATTAAGAAATTAGAACTAGGATATTATAGTATGAAATTTAGCCTGATTATTATTTAAAACTTTAAAACAGAGCTTAGAAACAAGCACTGTATTTTAGTAATACTCCAAGGCCTACTCAAAATCAGGCTCTAAAAATTATATTATTTCTAAGTGACAATAATGAAATATTTTATTACTGACCCATTTTATGTTTTGTAATTCTCCGGTCAACTAGTTAATAACACATTGCTTGATGGTGTGTTTGTGATCTGATATTATAAACTAGTCCCAAGGCTTCTCAAGAGGTTTTACAAGAGGAAAACCAGAGCTGAGAATCCAAAGTCTCTCATGAAAGTTACTCTCTGGAAGCAACTTTTATTTTGGCTGTAGCTAGCATATGATGCCATTATTTTGAAAATGTATCAAATATAATTGCAAGTGGTAATTTTGTGGCTGACATGTAAAAACTAAGGTAAATTGATGCTATAACTAAGACTTTTTTTTCACAATACTATCATTCTAAACACAGCCTGATATGATTACACATTCCTAATGGTTTGCTCCAACACATAGAGAATTCTATTTAAATGGACAATTAAACCACATCTAAGATTTAAATGGCCACAATTATGGCATAAATTGGGCTACAAAGACCCCAAAGCAATGCCTAATTAGCCTATGAAAACAACTGACATTTCAACAGCTAGCAATTGTGATAATCAGCACAGGCTTATTTCTGAAGGATTATAATCAGGGAAAGAACTGGAGCAGCTTTTTACCCTAAAGTAAGAGAGAAAACAAATAGCAAGTAATCCCTGAGATATGTCTAGGAGACTCCTCTGCTCTTAAAAGGAAGGAAACAGAACAGTGGCAAACACAGAGATACCATCCTTAGGAACTATGCTGCTGGTCAACATTCAGTAGAGGACTTGTTGCTTGTGCTGTGTTTTGTCGCTGTCTCTGACTTCTTAGCCTGGGGATCCTTCAGTGAAGTTCAGGGAAAGTGAACCTCATCTCAGGTTCAGGAAGTACACTAGGTTGGGATGCTCTATACCATGTTTATAAAGAGGAAGTGAGAATTTTAGCCAGCATTTGGGTAGTAGGGATCAGAGTTCTGTTAAGAGAGTTGTTCCTCATGTGTATAGGGAATGATTCTCAAACCCCTGTGAATATCAGAAATTCACAGTTGTTCAAGTCCTGTGTAAACTGGCACTATATTTGTTTATAATATAAATGAACCCCTGTGTAAGTTAAATCATCTCTCGTTTATTTTTCAGCATTAGGGACTGAATTTAGGGCTTCATACTTGCTAGGTAATCACTCTACCACTGATCTGTACCCCCACCTCTTGACAACTTTTAATAAATCACACAGTGTAAATACTGTGTAAGTAGTTTTTGTGTTGTACTGTATTGTTTAGGGAGTAATGACATGAAATAAAAAAAGGTATACAAATGATCAGCATAGACAGAATTTTTTTGTTGATGTTTTGAGACAGGGTGTCATGTATCTTAGTTTGGTCCTGAACTCACTGTGTAGCAGAAGCTGGCTTTGGAGTCTAGATTCTCCTGCTTCCACCTCCCTGCAGCATTACTATGCCAACATTACAGTTATACCTGGATAAACAACCTGACTCTTTAGTTATGAGTGGGCTCGAACTTGGAGGACACCCATTCCTCCAGATGTCTCCTGGAACTGTGCTGATGAGTCAGGCCTCACCCATAATGTTATTCAGAACAATTTCTCCATCATTGATTTGGGAACTACAAGCTTGGATCCACCCTTATCAGACAATCTTGCTCTTTCATGCCTAGGCCTAAAACATCTCATACACACAATGTCAAGCATTCTTCTTAATCTTCATTGTTTTCAGTGAAGATATGAATATGAATGCTCTGTGCTTTGTTAATTCTCAAGCATACCCACATTCATTTATGATCTTTGGTGGAGTGCAAATTGAGGCTCTGAGGGATCAAGGTCAGATGCCTACCTCACAAAATACATGGCACAGTGAATTTGTTTACAAGGTTAATTAAAAATAATTAGTATAAATTCTGTTCATTTTTTAAAAGTCATCCCTGTACCCTATAGGTATTTCCTATAATCCTAACTGGTACCATTCCCAGCTAGATTAATTTTTTTCCCTTTGGTTGGTTGAATCTGAGGATGCTGAATCCACAAATACAGAGAATCAGCTGTACAGCTGTTTCACTATGGACATCTGTTGCTTTGTGAAGAACTTTGAACTTGTTACAGACTTCTTTTACATAAGATACCAAGACATAAGTCACACAGCCTCTCTCTGGCCTATTTTCCAGTCTTAAAATGTTGAGGATTAACATAAGTGCTCCAGGAAATTTGTCTTCAACTGGCAAGGCATGACCAAAACACACTCATACACAGTCAACATAATTGAATCAAGCAGCTAATTTTTAAACATTCTAAACAGTCTAAAGATGGAGAGAGACCAAAGAATTGACCTCTGGCCTTCACACGCACGCTCACACAAGTACATGAGCACATACGTGCACACGTAATACTATAAAGTGATAAATTAAGACATACGATTATGTGAAAGAACTCTTACACAAGAGTACAAACTGTGGGCTAAGTAGACAGCTCAGTTGATAAAGTACATGGAACTGAGTTTGGCTCCCATAACCCACATTTTAAAAACTAAATGAGAGGCTGGAGAGATGGCTCAACAGTTAAGAGCACTGGTTGCTCTTGCAGAGGGCCTGAGTTCAATTCCCAGCACCCATATGGCAGCTAACAACTGTCTGTAACTCCAGTTCCAGGAGATCCGACGCCCTCTTCTGACCTCCACAGGCATTGCATGACATGGGTGCACTTACATGCAGGCAATATACAGTCTAAATGTATGCATCTCTGCCTGTGGGGTTAGTAACCCATATGGCAGCTAACAACTGTCTGTAACTCCAGTTCCAGGAGATCCGACGCCCTCTTCTGACCTCCACAGGCATTGCATGACATGGGTGCACTTACATGCAGGCAATATACAGTCTAAATGTATGCTCTCTGCCTGTGGGGTTAGTAATTCCTTATAGGTATATTCCTTATAGGTATGGCTATTCAGCATACCAAGTAGTACAAATTAGTCCCTACCTATGACTCATTTGAAGTATTTTCTCTTCTATAGACTTCTACAGTCTCTGTCTCTGCCTCTGTCTCTCTGTCTCTCTATCTCTCTGTCTCTGTATCTCTCTCTGTCTCTGTCTCTCTCTTCTCAAAATGTTTTAATTGAGGACTTAGTATGTACCTTGTCCTAGTTAGTTTTATATTGTTAAAATACTGACCAAAACCAACTTGAGGAAGAAAGGGTTTATTCAGGTTATATCTCCCGGCCACAGTTCATCAGGGAGCCCAAGGTAGGAACTCAGGGGAGGAACCTGGAGGCAGGAGCTGGAGCACAGGCCATGGAGGAATGCTGTTTGTTCCTCCATTGCTGTGGCAAAACACTCTGACCAATACCAACTTGAGGAAGAAAGGGTTTATTTGATTTACAGTTCACAGTCTATCATCAAGAGAAGCCAAAGCAGGAACTCAGGACAGGAGCCTGGAGGCCAGAACTAAGGCACAGACTAGCAGGGAGGAATGCTGACTACTGGTTTGCTTTTCTGTGTCCAGCCTGCTTTCTTACACAACCCAGGATCACCTGCCCAGAAGTGGCACCACCCGCAGGAGGTTGGGCCCTCACAGACATGGCCACAGGCCAGTCCAATAGAGGACATTCCCCAATTGAGGTTCCTTCTTCTTAGGAATGTCAGATTGACAACAGAAGCCAGCCAGCACATAGCTCAAGGACAGTGCTTACCTAGCATATAAGAGGCCCTACATTCAGTCCTTAGTACAGCAAACATAAATTAATGGATAAAGAATGAATATTTTAAGTTGCTTGGCCTGTAAATTCTTTAATTTCCTTAAGTTTTAGTGAATATTTAGTCATGACAAGATAAATTTTTTTATTATTTTTATTTGCCTGCATGTATGTGAGTACACCCATGTCGTTCAGTGCCGCGGAGGTCAGAAGAGGGCTTTGGATTCCCCTGGAACTGGAGTTAAGGATGGTTTGTAGCTGCCATGTGAGTGCTGGGAACTGAACCCAGGTCCTCTGCAAGAGCAGTCAGTGCTCTTAACCACTGAGCCATCTCTCCAGCCCCAACAAGATAAATTTTTAGTGGAGAGAAATAAACTATTATTTTCATCCTTTAATTAATTATAATCATAACATTATTTTCAAGTGTTCGGCTCCAAAGACCTGGAGAAGACCCGATGGCAAAACCATTGAAGTGGATACACAGTTCACCATAAGAGCCAGAGAGCTGCAAAGCATCTACAAGTGCATTATGCTGAAAGACCTCTCTCAAGATGAGAGACTGGATATACTTTTGACCCTTAAGCACACTGTGAAGGTATGTCAAGTCTGCTTTAGTTCTCAGGTCATGTTCACTACTAATAAAAAGAGTTGAATACTGAAACCAACAAGTCATTTTTCATTAATTATAAAGATTATTAATAAATGTTTGCATACATGAAGTTGTATCAACAGCTATGGCATTTTGGTACAATTTGGGATAGGTATAGTTGAAGAATTAATATTTAACTAAAAGCTCTCAAAATCTGTGGTTTATAACTACCTTATGCAAGACCTTGGATCTGATCTTCAGCCCTGCAAAAGTTACACATATTTTATGATAACATAATAAAATGTAAGCATAGCATAATTAATATTCAGAATGTAAATATGCCTTTATTCAGTCATGTAAATATATAGCATGACATTAATAATTAATTCAGTTAAAAACAGCAATTATTGTCTACATTATTCAATGAAAAACTATTTTTAGCAGTTTAAAATTTTTATTTTTATTTGGGATGTGTGTGTGTGTGTGTGTGTGTGTGTGTGTGTGTGTGTGCACGCACACACGCTAATGTCTGGAAGTCAGGACAACTTTCTGGAGTCCACGCCCTCCTGCCACTGTGGGTTACCAAGGATGGAACTCAAGCTGTGGGGTTTGCATGGCACGTGCTCACCAGCTGTCTTGCTGGTTTGCTTTTTAGTAGTCTTACAGCCAGGTCACTCTATTTTTGTCTTTTTATCTTTTGTTATTAATTTTCAGTATTTTGTATTGTGATTTAACCGAAGACAAAGACAGTGAATGTCACAAGTCAAGTTTCCTCTAGAAACTGACTCTGAGAGGGATTTCGTGCAGAAGTTTACTAGAGTATGCTCTCAGGGCCTCCCTTCTTAATGGTAGGGAAAGTGGGATTGGCAGAAAGGGCAAATTTCTATATTCCCAAAGGAGAAAACTCCACGATCCTTAGGGCGTCCGCAGTCACACCGGAACTCTAAAGCTGGGCAGGCCTTCAGGATTTTCCCTGTGTTGGGGTAAGGGGCAGAGAACTGTTTACTCCCAAGTAGAGCTGGTGATGTGAGCAGGCCCTGGGAAAAGAAGTCTCAGTTCTCTCCGTGACCCTACTGTTGAGTTGTCTTTCCGTGATTCACCAGGAGGGGGCGAGTAAGTGCTTCAGGTCTGGCTACAGAGCACACGGGATCTGCTGCCTGGATTCATTTGCTCAAGTTTTGGGAGCAGTTCCTCTGATTTGGAAAGCTTTTTTTTTTTTCTGAAATAAAATTATAGTACTGAGGTTAATGAGCAAACTACAGCACCCATCGCTTAATAGTCACTGGCATTTAGGCCACAACAGATTATCCTTGGTTTTCCCCTGTGCTATTCATTTTAATGTTACTCCATCCTGATTAAAAACCTGATTGATTTCACAGTCTTCCTTTTGGGATGACCTACACTTTCAGAGCTCTACACTACAGGGTACTATGCTATTTTCTCATAATCAAACAGGGTTTATCAGGAAAAAGAACCTGGGAGCAAACACACTCTTCTCTGTCCCCACTGGATAATAACAGCTCCATTGCCTTTTGGAAATCAGGGTCAGTTACCTCTCCTGACGATCTCTCGGCTGGAGGAGCTGGGAATTATTTATAGCTCAACGTTTAAATAGGAGTCTTTTCCTAGCATCTATTAGAAGCATTTTTCTCCAAGAATTACGATCTCTAAACTTGTGTTACCCAAAATTTCAGGCACAGGAACCAAACTATCTCCAAGTTAAGTGGGGCCATTTCTTTTCTTTTTATTGAATTTTTGTGCATTTCATATAACATATCGTGATCATATTTAGACCCCCTCTCCTATCTGCACTACCCCATGCCTGCGCCCCACCAGATTTTATGCACTCTGTCATATATGTAAGGCCATTGGAGTTAAGTTTGTATCCCCAATTGTCCCTCAGTGCGAGTTCATCCACTGGAACACGGTCAACCTATCTAGTATCACTCCCTTAAAGAAGACCAACTCTTCCCTCACCCGGCAATGATAAGTTGACAATAAAGTGGGACCATTTCTACTTCTACACTTTGTTTCCCAGGTAAAGAGCATTTTCAGAGACTCCCATGTGGTCTTCCTTATCACAGTCGCTTTTAACTCATAGGTCAAGAAATTAAGAGCAAAGGAGCCTGTGCCAGCTCCTGCATATTCCATTCCAATTATGTATTTGAGGATCAGGGGAATGAACTCTGGCTGTCTCTATGGACCTGCCACATCTTTGTGAGTTGGAGCTAGGCCAGAACTCCATTTTTCATTTCCATTTACCCCCAATTCACAGAGAATTTCTGGATTTTTCTCTTTCACACTGGTTAGTCATTGAATTCAGGGTATCTCAGAGAAGACACCATGACCTTGAGTGAGGCAGGAGTTTTCTTTTCTTTTCTTTTTTGGCTGACTGCAACTATCTTCAGCCAAGATGGCTCTGTTCAGCAGTGGGCAGTCCTGGAGAGAGCATTACTGAAGCATTATTTTTCATAGACCATAGCTGATAGTGCTTCAGTCCTGACATGTGAGTTATCTGGGCAGCATACCTCAGCATTTTCTTCAAGGAATATGCTTTCCACATTCCTAAAGGAGAAAATTCCAGTACTATTAGGACCAGTAGTGTTTTTGCATTTTACAACTCAAAAGTAAGGTAATGGGCATATATTATTGTAAATATCGGTAAATTAAATGGCAAAAATCACTAAAATGTTTGGTTTCTAAGTTAC